CATCTTTGTCTTCGAAAGCAGGTTGGGAAGCAGAGTGGCAGGAAGGTAACCTTCATAAACTGTGGAACCCTGACACAGGAGTGGATCTCTCCTGCTTTCAGAAAGCAGTTTCTGAAGGTCAGCAAACTTTCTTCTTCATGCAACCATCTTCAACTGACAGGGGCATAATATACGCTTTCTGCCTTTGTGATACAGACATTGGCTGAAGTTATACAGTCTTAACGTACAAATACGATAGTTTTCAGGATTCTCCAGACCTAGATCATCTGCCCAGAAATTAGAATGGAACATAGAGGACTCTGCTCAATCCTGCTGCACAATGTGCTATAGAAAATAAAATGTAACTGTGAAGCACTAAGTAGGACCTGCAGAAGACTTCTCTGGGCCAAGCTTAGTGCAAATTACATATGTAGGTATAAAGAAAGGCTTTCGTGATCTATTTTTCTCTCAAATTCTGTTTTACAGTACTGATCATGACTAGTTATGTCTATGACGGGACACTATACCGGGAACTTCAGATGCCTGAAGTGCACAGTCATGCCTTGGTGTGTACACATCCCTCACGGGCTGTGCAAGGCTTTGGAATAGACAAGATCATGACCAATTCACTTAAACTTTTACGGTGTCTCCTTGTGCAGTGCTGACGGCTGTGTTTGGAGGTGGAAGAAAGAAGTAAGCTCTCAATTTCCACAGTTCAATCAGTTTAAGGTCTGAAAAGTGGCCTTGAAGGAGCTTTATGCTAGAAGCCTTTTATCTCAGCACACAAATCATAAATTAATTCTTAAAAATTGAGTAGATGACCTCCAAAAAGAAACTGTCCCTTTCCTTTACTATGGCTTCTCACCCCGTCTGGACAGAGCATGTGTTTTCCAGAAAGGAGCAAGGCCTGTTTTCAGTTTGCACCATTACTGAAACCTTGGGATACACAGTCAACCTTGAGCAACCTTCCTCTGTCTACATGGGACAGAAAGAGAGACGAGGCAGCAATGGAGATAACACCTGCCACTCACAACCTGGGACTCAACGCTGGTCTTAGCCAAAGGCAGGGAGGCCTCCTCCCCCAAGCCATGAGAAACACTTACACCATCTAGGTATCCCAAAAGGGAGAGCAGAGGAGTTGTGTGCGTTACTACAGAGCAGCTCCGAGTATATCCAATCCCCTCTGCAAAAGCTTATTTAGATAGGAAGAGGCAGCAGACACATGAAAGCAGACAATTAATAAATTAGGCCATTACTATCATTACATGAGAGATCTTTTGAAGGCCAGGATGCTTCTCTGCAGTCTTCACCAATTTTTTGGCATGTCAACTGTAATCATATCAGACCCTACACTTACCTGAAAGCACAAAATATACTCAGCCAGGAGCAGAAATCCCAGTGACTGCAAAGAAAAATGCCCACTCTAATTCTTCGTTTATATGCTGTAGCATAAAGTACAATTCGTGCTTTAGAAACTCAAACGGACAACAGTTGATTAGATGTTAAATCCCTGTGGACTGCTTTCCTTTGACTAGTATTGTGGTTGACTGGATAGATGAAAGCCTTTGTACAAACCATGTCAATTTCAGTAGAGTTCTTCACCAATTTTTACCTTCACAAGACGCCTAATCTGACGAGATATGGAAGATGAGGTGTGATATTGGCTTAAATTCTTTAATCATTTTGTCTTTCAGAATCATCTGCGTAGAAAGAACCATTACATTAACACCAGTGGTGGTTGCACCGGCACCAACCCGAGCAGGAACTTTGCTGCTGCACAGAGTAATAAATAACCTGACCAATATAAAGACCACCTTGAAACTAGCCTGCAGGGGTACACTGGTAACAAGGATTATTTTGTGAGTCATTGAAAATTAAGGTCTTTAATGCTCCAATTTACACTCTACTGATTTTACACTGTAATACAAAGACCCAAATGCTGTGAATACAAATCTTATTTGCAGCTATTGGTGCCAAAGACAGGCACGTAAATCAGCCCACCGTGAGCCTGCATGAGGGTCTTAGGGAGAGACTGAAGCTCCCACAGCCTTAATTTGTAACAGCCTCTCTTCCATTAAGGCATATCTAAGCTTCCACTCATATTCTTAGCTGCTGTATTTCTTTATGGATACAAATCCGTAAAAGTGCCTAATTATGACAAACAAGTATTTAGGAAAGCTAACATAGAGCTTAACTTTCATGAAAGTGTATATAGCCATAACGAACCAGCATGTCAAAACAATTTCAGGAGAACCTATACTTCCAAGGTAAATGAAATCACAATGAACTGGCATGTAAGAACGATAAAGAAGCCCCACAGTGCACCTTTAAAGACTTATTTCAGTTACTTTGGTTAAACACTAGCTTCAGCAGAGTTAGGGAAGGCAAAAACCAAACCACGAACCTATACTTCCAAGGTAAATGAAATCACAATGAACTGGCATGTAAGAACGGTAAAGAAGCCCCACAGTGCACCTTTAAAGACTTATTTCAGTTACTTTGGTTAAACACTAGCTTCAGCAGAGCCATGCCCGATTTCATTTAGGGAAGGCGAAAATCAAACCACGTTCAAGCAATTTCTTCTATATGAATTTTTGAGTTACTAAGACTTTACATGATATATCATCTGCTTTTAAATTCCATTTTGACTGAAAACTCTCTCAAAACAGAAAAATCTCACTGTAAAACAAAATCTTTCCATAGGCACTGCACATTTGTGGCAAAAGACAGTGATGTGTGTGGCTGGTTTTGAAGAAAAAACTTATTTTCACCTCCATTTCATTTGAGAATGACTGTCTTGCAGCACTTACAATAAAAAATAATTTTAAATCTCATTTTTATAAGGAAGCGCACCTTGAAAACTACTTGTTACATACCAAGGACTTTCATATCTACTTCAATATCTGTAAATATTTTAATTTCTGTTCTGCATTCTAAAAAGTACCAGAACAAGGAGCATTAACCAAACATCTTTCAGCACCCAGTTAAGAACTGAACAAGACTGAAAATCCAGTCAAAAGAGAAGGAATATTCACTCTCTCCATCTTAAAAGACACTAGAATAAAGGATGTGGACAAGAGTCTGAATGTAGCTCTTTCCTCTCACCGATTCTGCTAAAAAAAAAAAAAAACAACAACAGTACATTTTAATGTTGCAGCTTTATTTGAAAATTACTTAGGAGTTTTGATAACACAAATTTTTACACAAAATTGATACAATGAAAAATAAACTTCAGAGGTTTCCTAGAGCAAATTACAGGCTGTAAACTCACAATCAAATGTACTATATAGAAAAAGGTAACTTTGCTCAAAGTCTTGTTTGCAGACCAGCACCAAGTGATCCTGAAAAATCTAGTTTTACTCTATGTGTCAAAAAACCAAAGCCCACCCAAACCTTCTCTTCCTAAGTAAGCAAAGTCTCATTGCAGTTGTTCTACCTTACTGCATTTCCATTTTACAGTAACAGTTGTGACAAACTGCACAGAAGCACACCAAGATTTCCAACAACACCTTGAGTGAGTAAAGATCAACTCTGACACACCCGGTATTTTAAAGGCTTTTAAGAAGTTATGGACAACAAAGTAGTTAGGCAAAACTTTACGAATTGCCATTTACAAAGAGCTCCAAAGTCCACTGAAAACAAAACAAAACAAAACCAAGTCCTGCAACAAACTATTTCATTTCATCAGGTCAGTTTCACAGATCTTGGGATCACTAATTATTTTTATTCCTATGTCTGCAGTACACCAAAATCCCATCATATAAACTAGCAGCATTAATAAGATCCCAAGGTGGCTGGGGGAGAGAATCTATACAGTCCATTTTTTTACCATTCTTACCACATGCACAGCAGAAAGTAAGGCTTCTCCCAAAACTCTTCTCTTTTTTTTTTTATTTTTACCTTTGTCTGATATTAGATTTCTCAAATAGAAAACCTATTTTGAGAAAAAAATTTTCATTATGCACACAGTTCCTCAAACGTCCCATTTTGGGGGGTAACTGTACAACTTGCCTTCATGCCACCCTTGCAGGCACAGGAAAGATACTGTTCCTCAAACATTAAGGCTGTAGAAAGCTACCAAACAGGAGTAAAATACTACTGCTCCAACGTGAAAATAACCACAATTCTTACACTTGCTGTTCTCTGTATCCTACAAAGCAGAACGGTTCTGAATCATGCAATGTCAGATACTGTTCCTCAAACATTAAGGCTGTAGAAAGCTACCAAACAGGAGTAAAATACTACTGCTCCAACTGTGAAAATAACCGCAATTCTTACACTTGCTGTTCTCCTACAGCAAAGCAGAACGGTTCTGAATCACGCAATGTCACACAATCACATTATATTTTGTAGAAGATTGCAAGGGTCTGTTTTCAGCTCTCTGCTAGGCTTGCTTCTCACTTTATGATTCCTGGGCTCATCAATCTGACTTGTTGTATTATGACTGTTCATGTAGTTGCGCTAGGAACAGCATCACTGTAAGAGGACGCCAATCCAGTAACCCCAGAAAATTCGCAACATTTAAATCTTCCCTAGAAATTGGAAGATTTCCCTAGAAATTCCACTTCCTTTTCAGGCTCGTTACCTTTTTCTTTCATCACTGAAACATACACTAATCCTCCTTTACTGCTGGTCCCCGCCCTGCGATACTAATGTAAACAAAAGCCTGTGATAGAATAATCAAGTTTTGCCAGTGAAAAAAAAGCACCATACCACTAAACTTTTTTTTTTTCCTTTTAGTACAGCTACAGCAGCATTTAGAGACCAAAGTCTCACGTGCATTCTCACTTAAAACCTTGCTCCCAGGTCCTCTGTATTAATGCACTCCACAATGCTTTGGATCTTGGTGTTAAAACACGAGAGATACTGAACCTACTATGTGATCACAGAACACAGATAGTTTCTGTGAATTTCTAGCTACATAAATTTGTGTGCAACAGGCCTACTTTGTGCCTCATGACATTTACAATGCAGATTTAGTTCTCCTGCGAGGCTGAGTCGTCATTCACTATTCACTGGCATTAAACAGTTTTGCCATAGCCATCTCTTCCAGCATCATAGTCTTGCCGACATTCATCTCAGACCTTGTGAAGAAGGAAAAAATGGAAGCCCAGTAAAGACAATGAAAAACAATTTCTGAAAAACTATTACACCATCAGAACATAGTCAAACTGAGACCACAACATGTAAATGGCCACAAGGAGCTGACTGACAAAGCACAAGGCAAAGCGCATCATGCAGAGGCCTAAAATACAGCACAAACTTCCATTTTAATAATGCCCAGGGGCACTCTATAATCAAGACAGCCAAGGTGAGGATGGCTAGCCTCATGCTTCAGCAGTAAAAGCATCGGATACCTGCTCAACTTCAGGTAAGCTAAGTGCTGTCTTTTGTGTTCTTGACAGCCTTACATTTTCTGGTCTTATTTATAAGCATTATCTGCCCAAGCAGCTAAGAAGTTTCTGAAAGTACTTTCAGTGAAATACATGAAAAAGTTACTTACTCTTTGTGGCTAGCTTAATCATTCATAAGATGTCTTACAGACTAACATATAGAGCTATCTTAAACAATAATTCTTAAGTTGCTACTTCGAAAGTAGTTCTGAGTGTGTTAATTTTTTGAACAAAAGTCACCAGTCCCTTCAAAACTAGGCTGTACAACCAAAACTAGGCTGTACAACCACCTGCCTGGCCCCCTGATCTTCCACGACCATACTGTCCACCCTCCTTAAATCCTGCATCCCAGTCTGTCCTTATGATCCTATCATCAAGCCTGGTTCCATTGACGTATCGCATTACATTTTCAGCATCTCCTCTTGCATAATACCTTAGGAATAAGTTAATGAAAAAAGAGGACTTCTATTTTCACCACATGTAAATAAGAACAATATCAAATGGGCTACAAAACCAAGCATAAGAGGACTTCTATTTTCACCACATGTAAAGAAGAACAATATCAAATAGGCTACAAAACCAAGCACTCACTTGAACCAGGTTTCTGCTCAGTTACTTCTAAAAGCAACTGCTTTTATGAAGCTATGCGGGCTGAGAAAACTACTAGTGCAACAGAGCAACATGCAAGAGTTCAAGCATATTAAAAATGTGCGTACTGGATGAGTCCTTTAATCACACTCACCCTTAAAAGCACAAAGCTCTATTACTAAAGAAAGAATGAGAAACCCCATGCATGCTTCATTCATGCTGCAAACTTTCACCCTTTTGGCGAGTTCGCTGGAACCAGTAACAGAATGATCTTCAAAGAGACTTGCACGTAATGAAGTCAACACATCACAGGGATGCAAGATATTAACAGAAACCTTATGCACAGGCTTGCAAGAAAAGAAACCCCTCTTTACTGGGGCACTGAGAATAGAGTTTTACTGCAGAGACCAACCGCCTAACAAGTGTCTGGCTTACAGCTGATACTTTAAGTGTGAAAGCAACCTGGTAACCCGACTAGGCACACAGTGTGCGCCTGCCCCCTCTCGCCCAGGACTGCCGCAGACACGTTGGCAACCGAATAACGTGATCCCGGGACCCAGCGCCCGCACTGCAGTTCACCCC